TTTAGTACATCGTGATTTTGTAGCATTTATTAAACAGGAATGCAGCATTGCACTCACGGTTCAAAAAGTTGAAAAATTGTGAAATACTGACAAAGAAAATTTTAGTAAAAAGAAGGCCACTTGAAAAATATTAAACTAGTATTTTCTTTTACCAGCTGACATTGGTATTCCAGTAGTGAAACGTACCCTCGAAATGAAATTCCTCAAATATTAACGAGAGTTTCTTTATATTTGAAAAATTCTTTAAGAAAAGTTTAACTATTACTAAAAACTTTTTGAAAAATGGCAAATGTTACTCCAAAGAGTGTTGAACTTGACATGGACTAACTCTGTGTCTAAGACTTTTAGGATATGAGAGGTGTTGTGCTAGGTCGAGAGCTTGGAGATTTTACGAACTTCAGAATAGGATTCTCTGTGCCAAGAGGCTCCAATCGTCACAGAATCGTGAATCTGAAAACTATGTCGCGGTGGGGATCGATTTGGCAGAAGCGTGAGTTCCCAATGCTCGTCGGCAGAACGTTGTCGTGTAACGGGAGACCGACAGTCTGACTGGCAGAGGAGGAGATTCTACATATAGAGGTAGACGAGACTCGTGAAACGATTCAGTCTCGTTCAAGCCACGCGACATTCGAATACACTCGAATCGCGGCCACGAATTTGAAATATTCAATCGAGAGGAACCTGATCGAAGTAACTCTGTTGTCGTGTGACCGTTGATTAATAACATTCCTGTGATTTCGTCGTTTCAAGATATTCGAGCAGCACCGCTCGTTCACCTAAATCGCCGAAGGTGAGTTCGATGATCCCACTTTCTGTCGAGCTCGAATCAACTTCCTCAATCCCAAATTTAAGTGCACAAATTATTTCTTGCGTGTTTTAAGTTGTTTTGGTAGTCAACAATCGCAATCGAATTAGGAATCAGAAATATATATTTATGAATTCGAATAATTAGAATTTTATTGACTATGTACGATGGTACTTTCGACTTGTTTTTAGTGTGATGGTTCATTTAAATCATAAAGTGACATATTCTTGGTATGAATTAATGTTTTGTCTAAATATTCAAAATTTTATATACTGTCTGCATATACTGTCAGATTATTTCATTTAAGAGTCGGTATGTTGTCTCACGCGAAATGAAGTCGTGCAATCTTTATACAAATAAATATAAAAATGTTTATCCAGTGAAAACTAGGACAGTGGGTTCCTTTTAATCACTTTGAACTTTTACAGTTTCTTCATTTCTATATTATCCTAAAAATCGCGTCAAATTAAATGAATTCAATTATTTAATTGCTTGTTATCATAAAGAAAATATATAAAGGTGTCTTGTTCTTGTTTCTTGATTTCTTTGAATAAAAATTATCTCCATCATATGTACGAGTCATACGAATTAATGAAAATTGATTATTAAAAAACCGGTTAGATCGTTATTTCTCGTCTCGATTTCATGTCTCAACCATGAAATTCTATTACATTTGAAACACCTTGTACGTGACTTTCAACTATCATCGACATTCGTGATTCGTTGCCGTTTGCAACGCGGTTCGAAAAGATTGCATTGCTATCGAGGGATTCCAAGCCGCGAAACATGATTACCGATAAGACCTAACAGCTACTGGCTCCAGGATCGCGTAAAATTTATGGCAGTCTCGGTGCTACCGATCCTCGATTCACTTTAGTTTCAATAAATAATCCCAACAAACAGTGACTTTTACTACTCAAATTAGTTGTGTGCGTTTTGCAGTTGTCTTCAGTGATGTTCAGAAAACTGGGTACGTTAATAGAGAAGCTAAAAATAACACAAATTGAGTTTTAAGTATTGAATTATACAGAGGAAGTAAAATTGTTCGATGTGTCGATAAAATCGGTTTTACTGAAAAAAGCGTCTCTAAAACTAGTAATTCATCCCATCACGATAGAAATATTTACAAATGAACGTCGGTAGGTTTAGTGTTAAGGAATTTCAATTCAAGGAAGATCCATTTAAAGTTTTCTTTCACAACATTCTATTCAAACGTCATAATCTTCTTCGATTACTCGGATTGTTACTGAGGAAAGAGTTGCCTAATACGTACCGATTGTCTGAATCGAACCTCTTCAATTTCTTTATTATTAAATTATTATTGAATAAGGCAATTTAGCGACTTTTTATTTATAAAGTGTTCTTCCAAAACAGTGGCATTTTCGTATCTTAAAAAAATAATAAATCATGGCTCGATTATTAGTAGCGACACATTTCACAATCCATGAAAGAAAAACATTAAGTAAAGTATTAAATTTCATAGCTATGAGTATTTTTCCACTTTGTGAGATGGTTTGACAATATCCTACGATATATAAAAAGCTCAGAGCAAAGAGTTAAGAGTGCAAGCAGCTCGTGTTAACGTCACGTCGAACTCCACACAAACTCGCACGTTGATCATTGACTGGAAGAACCTGACTCGATTAGACGGAACCAGCGAGTTCATTTCCCTAAAATTGGATTCGATCGACGAGATTCAATTGGTCGCGTGTACATTGTCGAAACGTGGTCGCCAGGGGCGGCTAATTACCAGGCGCGATCGATTTCGTTGCGTTTAAATGATACGCGCTCAATTTCGCGGAATTACAACCCCGAACGTGTCCATTCGTACCTCTTTCGGAGCTTCGCGTTCAAATAAATTTTTTTATTCCTATACGCAGACCGTGAATTTCCTGTATTTAATTATTTCAATATCACTCTATTCAGGTCTACGTAAAAAATGACTTTTAATCCCTTTTAATTAGATTCTTTTAATTTTACCACAGACCATACGTAAATAAATAATGTTGACTTTATCAACTCTCGTTTAGATTTGCTTATACTTAGCGCAAATGTGTAGTCAAGATACATTAAGATAATGACATTAGTGAAAATATAAAATATAATGAGTAACTAATTGATGTATAATTACAGTTTTACTTCTGCACCTTGCTAATGAGAACTCAGGCAATGCTTAGACGACTTATCGCAAAGCGTACAAAATTAAATACTGCATCGATGATGCTTCTTTTTCGGTAAATATTGGTTAATGATGGAGTGATAAAGAGTCTCTAGAAAAAATTCATGTACATATAATTATTTATATTACTTATAATCGAATTAGAATGCACTATTGAGATGTTTAGGTAATCATAGAGTTAAACTGCGCACGTCAATGATACTATTCATGAATTGGTAGGAACGCTTCTTTGTTCTTTACAAAATGGAAATATTTTAATACGAATTGATTACTAGACTGCGGAACTTTATGCAAAATAAAATCTTCGCGAACGTGCCTACAAAAATTTAACTTAAATTGGAATTTATTTTATTTTGCAAATATTGTAACATGAACTTTACTTTCAATCTTTTTTATATTCTTACAATATTGTTTGCGTTTTGTAGTTTCTTGCGCATTCAAATTTCCTATAAATGCATAAAGATCCGCAGTCTATTGATTACAAAAGTAAATTTTTTGAATTTTTTAGACCAATATGAAAATATTGTTAGTCATTATAATTATTTTCAATAAAACTGCAATAAATGCCTTTAATCTTTTTTTAAACCTCGTGTATTATTGTTGGCCTATTCCCGTCGCGTTTGTTTATATTTTACATCCACTGATAACGATATCAGGTCTCCAATTTATATTTAAATTACAACCGTCGACGAAAATCCTTTTTTCAAATCAAACGTGCTTCATGATCGATTTACAGCCGTTAGATCGTTCTGTCACATAGATTTACGATTGTCTCTTGTTTCGGCGTCACTCGAACGATACACTACCATTTTGGCAGATAACGCGTTTTAAAACCGTAATTCTTCGGTGTTTACGCTTGCAAGTCTGTTTCATCGCGAGATGCGACGACAGATATCGAGCGAAGATGTCTCTTGTTTGTTTACGTGCGCAATATCGTGTGAAACGGAGCGTAAGCGGAGTAAATATTGTTGAATCAAAATTTACGTAGCTCCGTGTTCGAAAATGAATTACAAGCACGGAGTACGTATAATTTGTACGAGGATTTGTTTTCATAGAAATCGATTTGTTGTCCAATTATTAATATAACATTCAAAATTTGTAACTTGAAGATGACTCCTACTATTCTTATCTAATCAAGATGTGCTTTTATTCAGCTGCTCTTTATGTACGCAGACGAAATTTCAAGCAACTTATTTTGCGGAAATATTAGCTACAGTAATTATTTTATCATATTCATATTAAAACAATCTTAAACATGTAATCACCGACCTCGATTGCAAACTACTTAAATTTGTAGCGAAACAGTTCTCGCTCTTAACGCTAGATAACGCCACCAAATAATTTCTACCCATATTGTAGATTACCTGCTACTATGTTCATTCAAACCAAATGAAATTTTGCTTAGTTGCTCTTTATGTTTCGACAGAATGTATGGACAACTTGATACGTGGAAATGTAAAAAACTTAAACCGTTAAATGAACTAAATAAAAAATTGTTGAAAAGTGAATTCATTCAAAGCTAGGGCTCCAAAGAATACAGACAAAATTGTTTTGGGAGTTGTAAATAATTTTAAATTACATGTGACGTCTGATAAACGCATATGGAGAATATTCACTTCATAATTCAACATAGTGTAATAAATATATTTAATATCACTTTTTATTATAATAATAATAACTTAGACGATACGGTTACAACATATTAATTATATATCTTGGCACCCAGAGCAAGATGCTCTAAATTTGCCTGCCGGTGAATGGGTTAATCGTCTGGTTTTCTAGAAAGATTTATAACAAAGCGTCCCTTTGTAATTCCATCAGACAGCAAAACACTTTAGGGTGCAATTTAACTTTGGTGATGGTTAATGACCCTTTTCCTGCCTCGGACCACTGTTTCTTCCATACCACGTTATCAAGAATGATTCGTTTAGGAAACTAATTGTACACCTAGTACGTTTTGTGGAATCGAAATTTAGATAAAACGTTGTTCGCGAACGGTAACTTTCCGCAACTGTACTTAATACGAATGATATGGCATTTGTTTCAGTGGTGGTGAGATCGACACCGATAAATCTCGTTGATATGGAGCAAAGCGGTGTCTCGATAATAACGTCGAACGGTGTCACGGAAAATTCTGTGGGGAAGTCGCGAAGTATCGGCATCACGCTCAGGTCGAGTTCCAGCATACAAGCTGCCAAAGAGAAGCTTAAATCGCCTTGTGAGTACACCTATCATTTTTCAATATGTTTCTTAGGGAACTATTTGGTTTAAGAATCATAATCTCATAGCAATAGAAAGTCGACTCGTCTCAATATTTGCCACCTAAGAGGCGCAAGAGACAGTCGAACAGAGTCAAGTAGCCAGTTAAAAGATCCTGTACTAGGTTATTGCTCTTATAAGCGCCAAGAAAGGAGCAGATGAAGCAAATGCTCGGCTCGTCTTTCAACGCGATCGAGCAAAGTAGAAAGGCGAACGTCAGCAAGGCTAGCTTCCCATTTTCTGCAGTGAAAGAGAAAGAAAGTACGCAACGTGGCTCGCATTTCAGGAAATCGGGTTACCGGAGATTTCGGCGTGTCAAAGCTGCACCGCGAAAGCAAATACGGTCAATTACAAAATTATTAGTACACGTAGAAAGTATCAAGTATATGAATGATGAGAGAATTATTACAAGATCTTTCTATATTTTTTATTTAAGAAATGTAATATTTAGTGAGTATGGATTTGATATTTAGTGAGGATGTATCATGAAAAAAAGAACAAGAATAATATTATGTTTATCCACCATGGTGCGATTTGCGTTCATGTTCAACCAGATGCAACAGATATCACATTACCGTGAAAAACGAGATAACAATATACGCATAGTGCTCGCCAGTTGCGATATCCATTGTCAAGCAAATGCCTCCGGATGTTCGACAAATTGCCGTATCGCTCAAAGTTCTCGAAGAAATTTGTCCGTTGAGGGCGTTTCACTTTGTTTTGTCGGAGGAGGGGGACGTCTTCAGGAAGTCTTCTTCTCTGAAACCCTAAAACAACGTTTCTTTCAGTTAAACAATCATGAACATAGCTTTTCTAAACTTTCCACGATTTCAAAGGCAGGAATACATTTCCTTATTAAGCGATGTTACTTTATTTTACAAATATGGTGTCTGCATTGCATTGAAAAAATTACGTTGTCCTAATTTTCATAGTTTTTTAAATGCAGTTGTTATGATATAAAATAACAGAATTGCATGTAGTTTCGTTTTTAATCTGAGTATGGATATGACTGGAACCATAAAGGGAAAAAAAGAAATACACATGGAAAATATAATAATTCTTTTAAAAAAAGTTAGATAATTTCACAGAAAATTAGAAAACGGTTTTTTTAAATAGAGATATAATGATTGTAGAGAGTATGCTCGTCGTTGCCCCAGCCAGAACACGGATACTTTATATTTGTCCAATTTCGTGTGGTTTTGACTCATTCGGCGTCGGACTGTTTGAGGACACGAACAAAAGACCTCCTTCAGGCTTCAACAACAATTCAGTGTAAATATATGTGCACGAATAATTGGTGACAATATAATCGGAGTGTATTCTTTGATGAGAGATTAACAGGTCAATCTTACGTCAATTTCATGAGTAATCAATTGCATGAGTTATTCGAAGAAGTCCCATTAGATGTACGTCGAATGTTGTTTATGGGTGACGGTGCACCGCCATATTTCAATCGCGTAGCCATACAGCTCTTAAACGAACGATTTTCCAATAGATGGATAGCTCATACAACAGCCATTGCATGGTCTGCTTCTTTCCCAGATTTATGTATCTGGATTTGTATTTTTGGGGTCACTTGAACCATTTGTTTAGTCAACACACATTTTTCACATTGAAGTTACATTTGGAACATTTTATAAATTGGAAAACTCTATGAGACAATCTTTACTGGTTTGTGTTTGGGTAAAAGGTACTCATTTTGAGCACCTTCTATAAAGATAAAGAATCATGTAGTGAAGTATACATGGCTATAATTCGTGCAGAAGAATTCTATTTTAAACTACAAGCAAACAAATAATTCTTTAATAATATTATTGTTGTCATTGATATTATAACGATACATGCTTCGTTACAATTATTCGGGCGGAAATCCTCCCCTCTACGCTTTCTCATAAAAATACACATGTACACTAATGTACACGTGTATTGAATTGAGGAAGTGATCCATATCTATGCATAAGTACTTTCATTTTTCATGTTTACCTTGAAAATTATAGGAGACCCTCAATTATTTAATTTGTAAAAGTTGATTAGTATCCTGACCTCTATAATACACGTTAAAGTCAATGCATCGAGTGTTCATAATATCTTAGGAGTACAAAACGTAATATTTGATAAAAAATTACATTTTGGGAATATAGGAAATATTTTATTCTGAACCGAGGAAAATGCAAATAGACAATTGAATACGTTATTTATCAAGTGAAACACATTTTCGTTTATCTTAAAACCTGTTAGGTAATTTCACTAATATCTATGCATTGTTAATTAAAGATTTTTCTGCAAGACGACGTTGAAATAGAAATTCTTCTTACTACTTACCTTGAAAGTAGGTTATACTAGGTCAGACGAAACTGGTTAAGAACCCTCTGAAGAGCAACAAACCAAACTAAAGACGTTCTGGAAGTCAGACATGTGCAATTGGTTATCTGTTACCTCTATCTCATACACGCATTGATTCCACTGATATGGGAAAAAGTATGTCAATATCAACGATCATCGAGAGCATACGCTTTGTATCGTGAATTGAAAAGAACTTCTGTTATTTCTTATCCAAAAGACAAGTCTTGTTTGCTCGTTTGATTTAGATTACGTGTACACAGATTATACGCTCACAGGAAGAAAAACATGATGTCATTGATAATCAATTTAGATCGGATTCGAAACCAGTGGTCAATGACATTGTAATATCTTGTTGTAACAGAGTGTTATGGATGTAAACCTGATTTCTTTCTATTAGTGTTGCTACTGATAATTTCATGTTGCTTTTGTCCGATCAGAGCAATGAGATATATTTATTCAGTTCAACGATCTCTTCGAGTATACACAATTTACAATTTTCATCGAATTAATTATAAAGTTTTATTTTTAACAAAATTATAAATTATATATACAGAGTAAACAAAATTTATTTTCATCTTTTCAAAATTGTACAAATAAATTCAAGTTTCGAAAATGATATAAGTATGTCGATATTTAAAAAAGCAATCTATAAATAAATGGAATAATACGTCATTGTCCCGATTGATCAATAGAGAATCATTATCTATATAATCCAAATAAGTTATTCTGAAGAACAAACGAATTCACGATTTCTACTTTCTATATTAAATTCTGTTTGTGGTTTTCTATCGTTCACGCTTTTACTACACGGATCTCCCTAACGGTAGTATTCATAAAAAGTTATACAGTTTAATAATGCGTAATAAGGAAAGCAGCTCGCTCGGAAAATAGATATAAATTGTCTATCCTTTTTACACGGTGCAAGGCGTGTACCGTTCGAAGTAATTAGCATTACGCTAACAAACAGCCATTGCCAGTTCCACCACTTAATGACAACCAGTTGGTAAACGCCAGAATAATGAAACAGTGCCGTTCATTCCAAGTCGAATAAACACACCAGTCGCCTTTGGCTTCCCTGGATACCTTCATCTCCTCGAAAAGTTCAGTTCAGACACGCTACCTGGCCAGTCAGTTTGCAGCCTGAACTTCGGTGGAACTTTTAGAGACACCGGAACCGTGATTACCATTGTCCAGGTCGTTCCTAAAACAAGGTACTGAACTTTGAAAATTTCGAGTAAGGTGAAGCTAGTTCAAACGTGACTTATAATTAAACCTAATTCAAATCCAATAGAAGTGTTTCTCGAACTTAGTCCTTTAATCGAGGCATGATTTGAAACCTAATCTAAATTGAGTTTAAATGGTTGCATAGTCTTCTGTATTTTCGGTTTTATTATAAATTCATTTTCAGTTAAACTTAATCGAGCTTAATTCAAATCTAACAGAAGTGTTTCTCGAACTTGGTCCTTTAATCGAGACTTTAACAGTAAACTTACCGACGTTCATTTATAACTATTTCTACCGTGATGGAACAAATGGCTAGTCTTGAAAACACCTTTTTCAAATTAAATGCAAAATTATTTTACGTATAACTGAATTGAATAATAGATGAAATAATTGTGTACAATTCATGTATTTTATAAGTTCATAAAGTTTGAAAACGGTTATTCGACCGAGCGTGGTAGATTTAGTGTTAAAGTTTCAGTAGCCTTTGGTCGAGCGGTTGATACTGCTCCATATTCAAGGTTATAATTTTAGCGATACTAGACATATCTTTTTCAATATTTGACATAATATTCTCGAAATGTGTATCTTTTGCGAAATGAAACAAAAAAAAATTGTTTAGTATTGTCTCTTCTTAATGATAAGTTTACAAGTATTTCTTATCAGATTTCTGTTACTGAAGTAATGCTTTTATGGTCGAAGTCGAATCAAATTAGAAGGCTTAAACATAACGAATTTGAGTATATTCTTGTCTCTTTATATGAATAAAAACAAGCAAGGTGGTTGACAAAAGAAATGTAAATGGTTTCTGCAATTTTCCCTGTGATATTAACAAAATGTAGGTCAAAATGGCGACACTCCGTAAGCCTAGCGTTATGTCTAGTGTTTCCCGAAGAAGACCGCACGGGACGGTCGGGATCCCGCAAATGAACAACTAAATAAACAAAGAAAAATATATATTTGTCCGCGAAAGCGCATGCCTTGATTCGGCCCTGCCCAAGACCACCTAATTGCGCTAATCGTCGAGATCGCAATAGTCAGCGACCCGTCGATTAGCTACACGGTAATTGGAGAATTGGAGACGTAAAGAGCGATTCCCCTTGGAGAGGCCAGCCTGGACAGCAACGAACACACCTGCTACGAGAAATAAGGAGCACGACGCGCCATTTCCATCAGACGATAATGATCTATCGCGACAATTGTGCTTGGCAATTTGCAGACCCCACCCTGGGTGCACGATTCTCACGAATGCTCTACTTCGCTAATGTAACAGGTTGCCGGCGAATCGTGGGCGCAGACGGGGAATGCAAATGGCGCGAAACAATGTCCTTTGTGGGCTGGAAACGTACACGGTCATCGCGGACGAAAGAGTAATTTCGTTTGCTCGCGATATCG